TTAGCTAGTCTATGAATAGCCATAATTAGCAATAGATAACATCATACTGCAAATTGTAAAACATACATTTTCAATATAACAGGCCAAGGAGAGATGATTAAAGCGTGTTTCGTCCGTTTTTATTTTTATTTTTTAAATATTCATTTATCGGCCATTTATACATTTAACTGCCGATACCGATATTATGGAAAAAGGTAGTGTATGTATTACTGTTCACAAGCTTGGGGTCTATTAAAGGGCAGAGCCTGACAAAAGTGTGCAGAGCCCAGTGGAGAGGGGGCGTGCATCTGAGACACGTCTCTCTTTAGCCAAGGGCGTGGTTAGATGGTTCCCTCTGATGTCACCGGCCACCACGACTTCCAATAAAAGAATTCAGCTGCAGTAGCCACTGTTCAACCTGAAGAGGGCAGCACTTAGACGTTTTACACCATATATTGTAGAATTAAAACACTTCAAACCCAAATGTGAATGCACAGCATTAATAAAGCCCCAGTCTTGCAGATCATTAAAGGGATAGTTCACTTTGAAATTAATTTTTGATATGTTTTAGCTTACCTCAAGGGCATCCAAGATGTAGGTGTCTTTGTTTCCGCAGTATTTTCAATTTTGATATTTTTCGGTCAAACCAGTGTTGTCTGTCAGTCAGATAATGCAGGTTTAGGGGGTCCTCCCTCGGTTTACCTCAAACAGCATGCATCGAGAAGTCCAAATTAAACATGATTCAATGACTCATAAATGTAAGTACACATTGATGGCCTAAGACACGAAACGAGCGGTTTGTGTGAGAAAACGGACAGTATTTATATCATTTTTGCCTCTTGTAATCACAGCCATGTCCAACTGATCTGACGGCACGGGCGCTTCGGTCTGCGCATGCGCCGGAAGTGATCGTTCGCGCATTTACGTCACTCATTGTTTACACAGAGATTTCAGAAGTGTTATCCTTCACTGTGAAGATCTAAACATATTTAGATATACAGAAGATAGCAATGGAAGACGATTTCGATATATCTAAATATGTTTAGTGAAAGGTAAAACTTCCAAAATCTCTGTGTAAACAATGAGTGACGTACACGCGCGAGAGATCACTTCCGGCGAAACGTTGGACATGGTTCAGTTTGACATTGGATAACTGATTCAGATCAGTTGGACATGGCTGTGTTTACACAAGGTAAAAACGATATAAATACTGTTCATTTTCTCACACAAACGGCTCGTTTCGTGTCTTAGGCCATCAATGTGTACTTACATTTACGAGTCATTAAATCATGTTTAATTTGGACTTCTCTGTGCATGCTCTTTGAGGTGGACCCCCTAAACCTCCATTATATGACTGATAGACAAGAACGGTTTGACCGAAAAATATCAAAATTGAAAATACTGCGGAAACAAAAACACCTACATCTTGGATGCCCTTGAGGAAAGCTAAAATATATCAAAAATTAATTTCAAAGTGAATTATCCCTTTAAACTTACCCACATTCAAGAGTTGACTCAAAAAGAATGCATGAAGCTAGAATAAAACGATTATTTTAAATGGTATCAAAAACATTCGGAAACCTATGACCGGTAGAAGTGTCAGCTGTGACGTAAGCATGTCTTCACTTCTTGTGTTTTTGGTTGTGCTTTTGTGTGGGACAGATCACCCTTTAACGTATAATGCCTTTGCAGGGCCCGATGACTCAAATCCGCACTGTGAGCATCGGAGAGAAGAGACAACCTGTTAACCACACCACTGTCAGCAAAGCACACACCAACAACACCTCCGCTTCCAAAGCCGCCACTGGAACCAGGTAACCCGTCCGCCGGGCTCATGCCTGCATGATGATTTTGGAGCCTTGCATCACAGCTAACCCAAACTATGTGAACCATTTCCCCAGGAAGCCACGCGGCGAAGCCAAGAAGTGCCGAAAGGTGTACGGCATGGAGAAGAGGGACCTGTGGTGCACAGCGTGCCGTTGGAAAAAGGCCTGCCAGCGCTTCACTGACTGAGCTTTATCATTTAGCCCGCTTCGAAACGTGCTGTTTTATTGCGCCTGTTCCACGGACTGAGCACCGAAATCTCCTGCACACTCTCACAGGGGGACTTGATGAGCCGTCCGAGGCGTGTGGCCTTTTAAACGTCACTCATTCCTCCAGGCCACAAGGGGGTGCTCTTTTCCCACTGCTTCCATAGTGGAACAACGAGACTGCTTTTCAGAATAAAGAACTGATAAAAAGCAAAAAAGAGGAAAATACTTTGGGGGGGGGGGGGGCTTATTGGCTTTTGCTGCAATTGCATATTACGGCAAAAACAAGTTACTTTTTCATAAGTAATCCAGAAATGAAACAATCAGGCATTTTTCCGGAAATTTTAAGTGTGGCAGACTTTATACATAGCAGTTTTTTTAACTGTTAAAAACTCTGTAAGCTACTTTGACTGGGTATTGAGTATTTTTTAACAGTTAACCCTCTTACACTCATTTTCGCTTCAAAATCAAACTGTTTCTGGACTCACCGCTTTATTTTGCCTACAAGCACTTTTAACGGCCATTGAAATCATTTAGTTTTCTATTTCGATAAACCAGTGCAGTTTAGCATTGGAATCGGCGCGTTCACGTACACGGCGAGCGTTTCCGCTAAATAGTCAAGAACTGTTTCGACACACATCGCTAAAGTAATACCTCTAAACAAGAATGAGCCTTACAGAGAGAGACCTCGGTGTACTTCAGCGCGAGCAGCGCGAGTGCAGGAATGTAAAATGGCCTCTCTCTGCGCTTACGCACCGAAACAATTCTGTCCTTCACAGATCAACTGCCTCTTTATAAGCTACGAGGTTTATTCCTGTCAGTCCACAGTATTAATTGAATGGCAGGCACTTTAACCAGATTTATCCATCATCCCAACAGGACATCCCAGGCTAATGTGATCCATAAATCAAGTGTTTCCCACATATTACACAGTCTTTGTGGCAGTTTCTGGCCACATTGTGCTTCCTAAGGAACTATTCGCTTCTCGTTCAGCTTATGGATATTATTCACGTTAAGGAAACGCTTGCTCTGATAACATGTAGATGTCTTCCACTGTGCTTTCTTTTCATATGGAGGTGATCATGTGACGTCTTCATGTACACAGACCCTCTCGATAAGCAGCTCTGAGCTGTTACGCTGCCAAAAAGTCTTGTTTTCCATTACTAATATCTAAAACTCTTGAATCAAGATATACTTACTTAAGAATGGAAATTCTTAAGTAAGTTCCTAAGGAAATTCTTATTTATTTATATAAATAAATAAACGAAACGAAGACGAAACGAATGGAAATGACCTGATGTTAAGTCTTAGTTTCTGAAAAATATATCTTGTTTTAAGCTAAAACCCACTTGATGTTTTTTCTGAAAACATGACGATTAAAATACGTTGCTTCTCAAGTAAATATATCTTGATTTAAAGCGATAGTTAATCACTCAGTAAATGATGACATGATTAGACTATTACTTTAAGACTGTTTAGATATTCATACTGGAAAACAAAAATACTGAGTTTGAAAATCCTTTTTTTTTTTTTTGCAGTGAAATGAAACACTGATAGTCATTGGACATGTGAATGTGATCTGTATCATTAAAGGGATAGTTCACCCCTAAATTAACATTCAGTAATGGTTTATTGACCCTCATCTCGTTCCAAATCTGTTTTTGTAAAACCTCACATTGGACCCCATTGACTTTCATTGTATGGACGAAATACATTTTTCGAAATACCTTCCCTTGTGTTTCACTGAAGAAAAATGTTTTGGAACGACACATTTTGAGTGAATTATCCCTTGGAGGGTAAGAGTTCACTCAATTTTGGGGTGAATTATTCCCTTGAAAAGAAACTCTAATTATTTGACACATTATTTTCCGCCTTCCATGTTGAAGATTAAAGGAGTAGTTCACTTTAAAAAAAAACTTTGCTGATAATTTACTCACCCCCGTGTCATCCAAGATGTCCATGTCTTTCTTTCTTCAGTCGAAAAGAAATTAAGGTTTTTGATGAAAACATTCCAGGATTTTTCTCCATATAATGGACTTCAATGGGAACCAAATGGTTCAAGGTCCAAAGGACAGTTTTGGTGCAAACTGTTCAAAGGCCTTTAAACGATTCCAGGCGATGAACAATGGTCTTATCAATTGAAATGATCACTTATGATCATTGTGACTCTCCTGTTCGAACTTGTTTATCAAAATGAACGAATCTTTTTTCGTGTCATTTGGTTCATTCAACGAACGAAATGAACGAGTTGACTCTGGAAAAGATTCATTCATTTTGATAAATGAGTTCGAACAGGAGAGTCACGAACGCGCATCACAGAACAGAGCAAGGCGAGCATTTGAGCTTATAAAACTTAAACTTAAATGATCTATTGTTTCGCTTGATAAGACCCTTATTCATCGTCTGGAATCGCTTAAAGCCCTTTGAACAGTTTGCACTGAAACTGTCTTTTGGACCTTGAACCGTTTGGTTCCCATTAAAGTCCATTGGAATGTTTTCATCAAAAACCTTCATTTCTTTTCTGAAGAAAGAAAGACATGGATATCTTGGATGACATGAGGGTGAGTAAATTATCAGCAAAAGTTTTAGTCTCGTTTGAGCTTTTATCAGACCAAACAAAACTTGGCAATCAAAATGTAGAGTTTCAAAGAAACAACTGGGCAAGTGCCTAACTTATCTTATCAATCAAAGTATATCGTCCAATCACAGCTTAGAGCAGCTTTGTCTTCTCTTTAGTGGTCAGAAAGGAAAGAGCTTTCCTTTCATGATCGTAACCTTCACTAAGTGCCAATGAGAAGAACAAGAGGGAAAAAATGTAATTGCACTAACTTGTACTGCACAAAACGTATATTTTTGATGTACCGTTTTTATACGCAGAAATTGAAGTTTAAAAAAAAAAGCGAAACCGCCGTGCTTCTCTTCATCGGGTCAGGGACGGGGTCTTTCCGCTGACCTCGCAGCTATAAGCTTACGTGGCGGTACTTTACGGGCTCGCGGTTCATGACGGCGACATGCGACTGCAGGCCTTCAGCCTCGTTTTTAGGGAACGTCACTGTCTTGATCAATACGAAAAAAATCCCTTCTCATCCCTTTTCTTCATGGGACGTCATGGGACGATTTTAGGCATCAAAAATCAGGCGGTCAGACAGTGACGCGTTAAATACGTTTATAAATTTCAAGGCTTCTTTGCCAAGACTTTGATAATATAATAGTAAAATCATAAAGAGTGAAAATGCCTTTTTTTTAAAGTAATGAATATAATATCATTGTATATTTTTGGGGGGAGAAGCATGAATGAATGTAAAAAATCGACAAAAATGAAACGCCTATGATCTGAGTTTGTTTTATCTCACACAAACTTCTTTCTGTCTTTTATTTTCTTTCATATAAGTAGTTAGAACCACTCAAGTGTTTTGTTTTTCTTCTTTCCTTTTCATTTTCAGTTGGCGCTTGCATCGACGCGTTTTATACGCGAATGTATGTATTATTGTGAGGCAGGAAGGGCGTTGCTATGTGGATCATTGTGCCTTCCTGCCCTGCACATTCCGATAGATGACCTTGTGTTAGTTCGTCTGAACCTTTATCTGTCTTTTCCCAGTTATTCTAACTTCACTGAATGCCTGTTGCTTCTTCAGCCAGGATATTAAGCTAAACAACCAAGAAAATGTGTAAAAAAAAAAAAAAAAACTCCACGTACTCTTTGTAACTTACAAAACACGTCAGAGTTCAAAAAGCATCTTTACAATAATCCCGCTATTCAATAGAGCTTTAACATAAACATACATCATACGATTGTGTTTAACTGTTGAGGTCTTGTCATTGTGTCAAGCCCTTTCACTTTTTCATTGTTCAATGGATGAGATTTGATGCATGTCTTGTATCATCTTTGTACTATCTTGCTTTATTGGAACCATTATTGTTTTTCAGAAGTTGACAGTGACAGTCGAGTGAATGAACGAGAGGATTTTCTGACGTTGACTTCGTTTGGTTGGTTGGTGATGAGAGTGTGATTTCTTGTGGCTGTAATGTGGAGATTGTAATAAACATGGATTTCAGAAAGATGTTTGAGTGGAATTTGATTTTTTCTTTATTTGCGAAGGCTAAAAATAATCTCTATTAAATGATTCTAGAACGTCTTCACCAATGATTTTTGTAGCATTTCGTTAAAATGTCTTACGCTCTTACGCTTACTGAAACTGCATTCATTTGATGAAACGGTGTACAGTAAAAACAATTTTGTGAAAATATTATGATTTATAATAAGTTTTCTGTTAATATATTTTAAAAATGCAATTTATTCCTGTGATCAAAGCTGAATTTTCATCATCATTACTTCAGTCTTTCTTCATTCAGTCATTTTTTGATTTCATATTGAAAGTAGAAAAATGAGAAAACGGTTCCTTTTTCGTTTTTTTTTTAATTAAAAGAAAAACAAGAATTCAGCTTGATTTTTTCGTTCCAAAGTAGTGGCGTTTCATTCCCGCCCTCGTGTAGAAATCGAATATGCAAGTTGTTTATTCATTTTCCTACCTCAGAACAAAAAAATCAAGTTGTTTTTTTTTATTTTATATTTTATTATATAAAAACGAAAAAAAGAACCATTTTCTCATTTTTCTACTTTCAATATGAAATACAAAAAAACGACTAAATTAATGATACATGGATTTGCGTCACATTATCCTTCTAACATCCAGATTTTCTGCTCAAGAAACATGTCGTCTTATCGTCAATGTTGAAAACAGTTGTGCTGCAATTCAGTTTTAACTGAGACTATCATAATCATAATCATTATCATCAACTACTATGATTGTTTGACCATAAATGTTGGTTACAATGGAAAGTTACCAGTGTGGTTTAATAAAATCAGTTACCAATTTACGTAACTGAAAAAAAAAAAACGTCATTAAAAAACCTATTTTATAAAACAACTGACAACTCACACACTCCCAACAAATGAATCCTTGAATGAGGTATTAAACATGTACACAAAATCAGCGGTTCAGTCATAACTTAATTCCCTTAAGTCATCTTAAGGGAATATTCCACACTAATCTCAGATAAAAACAGATGCCCGACAGACAAGGAATCATGGGAAGTCAGTGGTACGCGATTCTCCTCCGGTCCAGTGTGTGGTGCTGTAGTTCAGACCAGCAGTGGGTTATCCAGCACTGCTACTCCCGCAGCGACGCCCCCATCGGCGTGCTCAGAGCTCTTGGTCCTCAGCAGGTGGCCCACACATTCATTAAACACCACGTCTTTGCCTTTCCTGCGTGTGTGAAAAAGATGCAGTGATTTGCTGTGACACTGTGTGCCCTATTTTAACGATCTAAGCAAATGGTCTAAAAGGGTTGTCCCTATTCTCTTAATTTGTAATGGGTGTGTGTTGGGCGTAACGTGCAATAAAAATCAGAGTCTCATCTCCCATTCCCTTTAAAAGCCAGTTGTGCTGGTGCCATGGCAGATTCGCAATTTAAATGGTGGAATTTGCAAAAGAAAAAACGAAACACTTCTTTCAGTGAGGAAACGGATCTGCTCGTGTGTGAGGGCAAGCAGACCATATGGCATCAGTTCCCGACAGGGGGGTCTCGGCCCACAAGGGGGCCTCAGTGAGCTCTGTTTGGGGGTCGAGTCATATTTTGAAAAGTTTTGAGTACTGAGCATTAAATAAAAGTCCTTCACTTTTTTCTGTTCAAAATGTACAAAATTTATATAATGAGCGAGTTCATCATGAATCCATCAATCCGTGTTTTTGTCTTATCCTGAACCACTATGGTACACCTATAATACGCGTTTACATTGGGACTATTTTACACTGGTTTGGGTCGCTGCCGCTGAGGAGTAGCCCAGTACCTGCGTGACTCGTCATAGACTTGCACAGAAAGAAGTAGTACCAGCTACAATGTTCTTCCGAAAGATGGATTATTTTGTCAATAAACTCAAGTTTATTAATGCTCGCTATTATGACAAAAGCGTAAAAATAAAGCCTCACATTGATAAAGGCCCCAGATAGGCGAGGGCTTGGAGCCAGAGGGGCGTAAGTGGCATTTTGGGCGAATATGAGTTCTTCATATCAAAATAAAGGTCTCGATGAGCTCTATCCAATGGTGCCAAAATACCTATAAGAGATCTAACTATATTCAATAAAGCAACAAAAAGGCTTATCTGACGTATTTGATTTTTTTTTTTTTTTTTTTTAAATGTTTTAGAACATGTTCATTGTGTTAATATGCCATACATTTTTTACTTAAATACTCATTCATGTACAAAGTAAGTATGCCTGTGGTTGCAATGTGTGTGGTTTAAGGTTAATAATACAGGTGACTGAAGTGTGGTCAAAATTTTGTTTTGTCTCTCCTGTAAAGTTTGTTAAAAGCCACTTACGCCCCTCTGGCTCCAAGCCCTCGCTATATTCTTTCTTTTTTTACCTACACACCAGTGTGAATATTTTTGTTTTTGCATTTCAAATCAGGGCCAATATATAGGCTTCTCTAGGCTTACGTTTTTAAATTACAAAGAGCCTACTGATTTACTGACTTTTTGTTATTGTATTTTCAGTATTATAGGCTATTATTTGTGCATAAACATATCTGGTTATAGAAAACATACTGTTTGTTTGAAAACAATATATTTTGTCATCCTTGTTGCAAGCTTACAAGAGCAATAATATCATTAAATGTGAAGGGGGAAAATATTTTCTTGAGAAAAAGGGGTCTCACACAAAAAAAAGGTTGGGAACCATTGATCTATGGGACAAAGTGTCCTCAAAACAGCAACGCGCCAGCAATGCGCCGGGCTGAAACAAGTAAAACACCAGTGTTGGGAAAGTTTACTTTCTACATGAACTAGTTCAAAGTTCAGTTCACACATTTTAAAATGCACAAGTTCAGGTCATAGTTCATACTTCAAAAAATGAGCTAGTTCATTCATAGTTCTTTTTTCCCATGTTGGAAGCCTTTTTTTTATTAATATTATTGTCACAGCCCATATACAAACACAGACAACGATTATTTTATAGATGGGCGGATTGCACAGAAATGTACGATTTTTCCCATCCTCACCGACCTCGTCATAAAACTCTTTTAAATGACCATACGACGCCTCCTCACTCACTGCTTTGTCGACGGCGGCCGTGACACTAGTGGCTGGTGTTGCCAGATTGGGTGTTTTTTCGTTACATATTAAGTGTGTTTTAGCCGGGTTTTCGCCCGGCTCTATAGAAATCTGGCACCCTATTGTACGAAGTTAAACTGAGAGAGCGTGCGTTCACAGACATCAGAACGCGTTCACAGTAACGTTCATCAGGCAGTAATACAGTACATTCAGTTCACGTTAGCCCAAAATATGAACGCGTTCATTAACTATCATGAAACACACTTGCGTCGCGCCTGGCGCTGCATTGCGTCAGGTATATGATAGGGGCCTGTGTTTTTAAGATGTATATGTTTTGTGGAAGCACTGATTCCCACCTGACATACGCTCCGAACGTGCCCAGTTCGCTCAGACAGGAGTTCAGTCTCAGAGGAGCTCCGGACCGGAGCAGGTAGTTCTGGACCGGGATGGGCTGGATCTTGTCCATCAGGATGTAGGCTGTCCTCTCACTGGAGTTCTTCATGTTCTTCAGCACCTCACAGATCTCACTGCCATAAATGTTGTTGCCTGCGATATAGGAAACCTCTGAGCAAGTGTTTGTGATGTATATGTGAGCGAGTACACCAGACATGACTTGTGAATACTCACCTCCTCCCTCCCTCTGAGGTTTCAGCACATACTGATCAGGATTGGCCAAAGCCATTGCTACCGTTTTATCACCGTCTTCTCCCTGCGGAAAGACAGGTCTACCATTTAAAATCGGTTTTATAAAAGTAGTCAACAGTGGTGTTCAAACCTGCTTCTGACTTTCAAACTTTCAAAAAGTTTAGTTCCTAACAAGGTTACCATATCATTATAATCAAAATAAACTTTTGGTCCACAATCAGCCGAAAACAGCCAACGAGTAGCAGATACGAGCGTTGCAGTGGGCGTACAAATTGTGTGTGCTCTAATATGAAAGTGATTGATCTTTATAGCCAATCACAGACATCTATGTTAAACATGTCAACACAATGGCCAATCAGAGACACATATGTTGACCGTAGCAAAACATTGCCCAGGGGTGATTAAGAATTAGTTCGACAGCGCTCAAAATGAGAAATGGAGGTATTGTCATTTTTAAATTTCAGTATTTTTGACAACACTACTTTGAGTGTTCTGTTGATTCATTGACTACTGTATAAGTGCTTCATTAGAGTTGGATCTGATCATTGGGTCTGACTACTCGAGCAGGATTCAGTGTTGCTCCTCTACCATGTCCAGGGTGTACAGCCCAGCGAAAGTGGCCCGGATCTGAGCAACTGCTTCGGGTTCGTCAGGGAAGAAGCGCTCCAGAACCCCCGGCCGGGCCAATTCCTGCTGCACCTTCTTAGTTCCAGCGAGATGGGTACTGATGTCGGGACACTTCACCGCCAGGGAGCGCTCCATCATCAGACGGGCCTCCCAGCTCTAAAACATACGGGTTTGATTCACACTCGACACTCAAAACGGATCACACCATATACATTTCTAAGAGTAAAATAAAGCCTATAATGTCCTCACCCGCTCTGAGGAGTAGTTTTGGGGCATGTATCCGTTACGGAAGTAAACAATGGCTATCTCACGGCCATCTCTGCAGGAATTGAAAAAAAAAAAAAGGTTGTCAGTTGACACAATTTCAATCTTGAAGTTGACTAGGTATTTCAATTAGGGCTGTCAATATTAATCGCATCCAAAATAAAAGTTTGTGTTTACGTAATATACAGTATGTGGGTGTACTGTATATAATTATTTTGAATATAAATACACACACATGCATGCATGTTTAAGATATAAAATTATTTATATATAAAATATTGATATTTATATATAATATAAATCCATATACATGAAAATATTTCTTAAATATATACAAGCATGTGTGTGTATTTATATATATAAAATAATTATACACAGTGCACCCACATACTGTATAATATGTAAACACAAACTTTTATTTTGGATGCGATTAATCGTTTGACAGCCCTAATTTCGATACAATATTATTGCGATACTCCAAGACATGATAAAAGGTTAACAAAAAAATGCACTGTTTAATGCTAAATTTGGTGTTGCATTGTGGGTGTAAATGAATAGGCTTGGACTTGGAGCTGCTAACCCAATGCACAGGACAATATTGACACAAAAATATTTGTTTTTAAAAATATAAGTTATTTTAGACGAATACTTGCACTCAGTCACTCACTAGATAAATTTAAAATAATGTAGGCCACTTTTAACTGGTAGCATGAGAGATTTGGCATTATCAGGAGCCATAAATATTCCCACATTGCATTATTATACATTATATATAGTAGTTTAATGTAGTACTGACACTAAAACTCTATTAAAAATAATACTTTTGGGTGAACTATACACAATACATATGGTCACTCTCCACGATACATATTGCATTTTTGTATTGCGATATTATGCCAGTATATTGTTTCACCCCAAGTTTTGACTAAACATTGCTCTCAAGTATTCAACAATGCTAATATTAATGTGTTGGACAGATGAGAAATGTATGATATTGAATCACAATCACTTACACAAAGAGCCTCTTGCTCTGATCCAGAGATCCGGTTCTGCAAACATCTTCAAACTGTCTTCTTATTACAGGAATATTTCTGTACAATTAAGTTAACACAACAGATCATCACTTTTGCCCATATAAAAGATGCTTTTCTTCACAAACACCACTAATTAACATGTATTATTATTAACAGGCAGTGGACTATGTATAGACATTACGAACATGTTGCTCACGACTGCTACTCAGTACTTACTAATAGTAGTAACACTAATGTAAAATAACTGATTATAGCAAGACTATCAGACTACATACTGTACCTTTTCCACAGCTCATTCTCTACATATCGATGGTCATAAATATTCCTCTGAACATTCTCGACCAGAAACATGACCACAGCCCTGTAAAAGACATCAGTTGCAAATAAAACAGCCTCGGTAAGCAGAAGAGACTTGATTCAACAACACTGAAAAGTCTCACCAACCCCACGCTTTCTGTTTGTCCAACTCAAGGCAGAAAGTTTAACACACACCTCTCAGATCCATAGAGTCGCCAGGCCTCGGCCAAACCTCTCGCCAGACCTGCTGCTGGGTTGTTGTCGAGAATACGATCACACTCCTCTGGCAGGTTTGCGACCTTCAGAATGTGTCTTACGGGATTGAGAAACAGTGGATCACAGCACTGACGATAAACATCACTCAGTAATAAACCAGTGCATCATTTTAATACACAATCTCCTCTTTTTAGAGCTGTTCGGAGTTTCAATTGACCGTTTTGCTCAGACGTACCGATGGACATCTGGTGTCCGAGAGGCAAGACCGCCAAAACTTGCAGCAATAGTGTTGATTTCAATCTGCTTTAGAGACGTCCCGCCGTCTGGTCTGTGGTCCAACATGTAATCGGAGCGATTCAGGCCCAGCACTATTGACTTGGGGAAGACATGAGCTATAGTTTAAATAAAAGTATCTAAACAATTTCAATCTTGAAGTTGACTAGGTATTTCGATTAGGGCTGTCAATATTAATCACATCCAAAATAAAAGTTTGTGTTTACATGATATATGTGGGTGTACTGTGTATAATTATTTTGAATATAAATACACACATATGCATGCATGTTTAAGATAAAAAATTATTTATATATAAAATATTGATATTTATATATATAATATAAATCTATATACATGAAAATATATCTTAAATATATACAAGCATGTGTGTCTATTTATATATATATATATAAAAACATATGCAATTAGGTTATTAATATTATTTTTATATGAAGTGTGCTGTACTACATGTATAAAAGAACATGAACCGTGAATGTTTAAAATGTGTAAAATTTATTTAAAAAACTTATTATACCTGAGGTAGATGTTCCTGTTGAACTTGTTTGTATATGCTGAAAAGTCTGGCTGTAAAATCGTCAACTTTGATAGTGCTGTCAAAGAAGAAAAAAATATTATATGACACATGATGCCTCTAGTGGCACGAGATGGAATTGCAAAACACTGACAGGTTTAAAAAATAAAATAAAACGGTAACACTTTACAATAAGGTTCATTAGTTAACATTAGTAAATGCATTAACTAATATTAACTAACGATGAGCAATGCATTAGTTACAGTGTTTATTAATCTTTGTTAATGTTAGTTAATACAAATACAGCTGTTCATTGTGTGTTCATGTTAGTTCACAGTGCATTAACTAATGTTAACTAATACAACCTTTGATTTTAATAATGTATTAGTAAATATTGGAATTAATATTAACTAAGATTAATAAATGCTGAAGAAGTATTGTTCACATATTGTACATGTTAACTAATGTAGTTAACTAATGTTAACTAATGAACCTTATTGTAAAGTGTTACCAATAAAACAATCCAGCGTCTGCCATTGCTTGGACAGACAGATTGTCCCACCCAAAATTCATGCCATTTGCAGAGTCAGTGTTACAGTGTCATGATTTTACAAACAATCAGAGCAATTTTTTGATGTCTCTGCATAGAACATGTTAACAAATATATTACATTTATTTTAATCACACCATTAAAATGTAGCCTAAAAAAATATGACAATAAGAAAAAGGATACTCAATAAGAAATTATTAAACTAATTTTTTTTGTTTTGTTTTTTTAAATTTACTTTACGGAAGGTGTAAAGCCTGCCCAATCTGTCCAGTGACAGTTTCGATAAGCGGGTGAAGGTTTACTGCGTGTTAATGTCTTTTCCGTGTGGCAAAGTAATTTGATTCCAATTAAAGGGATAGTTCAAAAGAGACAAACTGTCCAGGGTGCTCAGGGAGTTCAAAAAGGTATTAGAAGGTATCCCAGTCTTACAGGGTACTTCAACACATTTACATTTATGACGATTCTCTCACGTCAGTAATGCATGAAATGCAGGTACATAAAAATGTTTTTTATGTTTTAGTGTTTTATTTTGATTTCTTTATTGCTATTCTCTTTATTGATATTCTTTATTGATTTATTTATTGCGATTTTTTTAGACTGAATTAATTATTAGATTTATCAACTCACAAAATAAAAAAATTTGCTTAACCCAACAATAGAGCGATTGTATGATACCTGGCCAGAGTTTCTTCTAGAAAGGTGGGATCCTGGCTCACCCGGTCCACCAACCGGTTAAAATGTGTCTGTACTGCCAGTGCCTGATGAAAGAGCGCTGTGGGCACCGGTGTGGGAAACAACGTGATCGGTGCATAACTCACCACCTGTCAACAAACACACATTTATTTGACATGAATGGACACCAGCAGAGTCACTCCTGATTCTCTGAGCGAGGGGTTTCTGCTCAGTATCCACTCAACGGGGCAGAACTAACTCTCCATAATCCAGAAACAAAACACGACCACAGAACAAACAGAATTCCAGACGTGACTGTGAATCAACTGCAAACTCTGTGACAAGATGCCAGTTAGTGTTTGATGCATATGGTCATTTGAAATCAACTTCGCCTGTATTTATGGAATAATTGGCTATCTAGGAGTCTTGGTTAGATCTGGGTTAGGTCTCCGGTCGCTGTCTTTATAGTGGCATGAGTTGCATTTATTTACTTTAGCTTGATTTGCAATGCAAAACTGCCCTCTGTGGGATTTTGCAGCTTGGATGAACAGTGCATGTAGATGTCTAAATGACATTTCTTCCATGCACATGAAACAATGGCGCGCTCTTACTTCAGGAGAGTTTGGTGTTTCTTTGGTCCGCATCAACACCCCATGTAAAAGTGCTGTGTCTTTTGCGATCTCTTCTATATTTTTGATCAGGTTTTCATCTTTCAGGACATCCTCCAGTTTGACAGACATAGCAGAGAATCTACAATCAATCAGAATGAAACACATTAGTCATTATTCATGCCACTGATTTGCCAAAGAAATTTGTATTTTTGTTCATGGGTCAATGACATGCATATTTTTGTGTCGAAGTGCGTTATTTTCTTTTAAAATAATTTGATAATATGAATATATTTAATATGAATTACTGGTAAAAAAAAAATGCTAATTTCAAGTATGAGTAGGTTGGTACACTTTCCATGGCAGGTGATACAGCTAAAAGTCAAACAATTCATTTAAACACTTTGAAATGTTATTTAACAACTGAAACTTGTTTAAACATTGTTCTTTACTCAAGAATTAGTCTTACATCAGTTTTGAAAAGATTTATAAAAACACAGTAAGTTTTGACGCTTTATTTGTCAATGAATCGATTATTAAACTTCCACTACTCAGAGACTTTGTACTGAAAAGGGAAGTGTCTTTACGGGAGGCAGATCTTAAAGAGACTCTCAGATGAATGAACGACATGGTAACTTGTCTTACACAATATAACCCGCTGCTCCAGTGATGCAATGAAACCTCACAAACCTGTACTCATCATGACACGGCACAACTGCACTCAACTATTAACGTTACAAACAGACAGACACACTGAATGTCAACACTAGCTCGAGGTGTAGCTGACTGTTTATCCGTTGAGTTGTGGCATACCTGATGTTCGCGGACTCTGTTTGGTCACTCCTGTGGCACTGAAGCTCCTTGTTTACAGCGGGTCTGAATAATATTTAGGCTCAGTTCACCTGAGAACAGACTGACAATCATCTGAAGTGTTTCAGTCGTACTGCTAACTGTAGCGCTGTTCGGCTCGTGCAATAACAGTATCCAATCAGTGAACAGTAGAGTTGTGACGTTCGCGAACGAACCGATTCTTTTGAACGGCTCATAAACATGAACGATGGGAGCCGAGTCGCGGCTGGAGGGGAGCCGTTCTTTCTGTCGTTCTTTTTTCCTATGCGTGTTTTACACAGATGCACATCAATTACCTCCTCAGTTACAGGGGAAGGGGCGCCCAGCGCAGGGGTGATAGTTGTGCACGCGCGTGCATATTTTACGTTATCTTTTATAACCCTACGTGCCTATGTCATTGGGTAGGAGCGGAGCCAAAACTTGTGCACGCCGCCATCACATGGTTACTCCAGTTTTTTTTTTTTAAAAAGCCATAAAGTAAGGAACTGCTTGTATTTATTTACATTGCATTTTGTGTTCATGTTAATGTTATTGTATCTAGGCCTACAGTATATATTTCCAACTTTAAATATTTTTTGTTTTTTATCAAAATGTTCTTGTGGTATTGTATGAAAAACATAAGTCAACAGCTTTACACATACACTCACTTTGTACTAAAGGTAAATACAAAATAGTGATGTCACATTCTAAGCAGAGGGATGTTGTGCAACCCTTTGAAATATAGCCCACACGTGACAAATGAGGTAATAATCAATATTTCAGAATAATTCAAACTCAGATATTGATGCGTGATATCTGAGTTTGAATTATTTGACTACAAATCTCACCTCATCATTCCTCCCAGTGATTATACTAAATATTTAAAAAGAGCCAAAAGAGCCATTCTTTTGAACGGCTCTTTGAAAGGAACGGATCGCCAAGATCCGGATCCCCTCAAAGAGCCATAAATCCCATCACTAGTGAACAGAAGGCTGATGACGCCGCTATGTCCACGTGCGCGCGCAGCACTTCAATCATACAAAAAAATATTCATACAGAAGCTTCTTCTTCTTCTTCTTCTTCTTCAATGATTTTTAAAGGCAGCTTGCTCATTTTATGTTTCAGCATCATACCGAAGCGTTGTCGTTCTTTCTTTTTGAACGTGCTGTAAGGAACTGGACACTAAAATACAGTTTCATGAAGCCTTCGTTGATATGGCTTTCAGTGTTTTGGAGCGCGGTACAAATATATATTACACAGACACTATTTGATGGTTCGTAGATTGTATTTAATAGCTTACACTTTCAAGAAAGGTTTTTGTAAAAAATAAATAAATAAATAAAGTTTTTGTTGCATTTACATCAGTTTGACCAGCAGGGGGCGTGTGGTCTACGAGTTTCGTGGACTTGTTTTATTTTATTTTATTTTTTTTTAATTGAACTTTTACTTATTACAACAAACAATAAAGAAATCCAACAAATAAAGAGCGTATGACAATCTCATAATGTACAATATAAATATTAATGTATTACAAACCAAGATTCACACCTCCCGCACATCATCCAAAAAGACATCCTCTGCACTGATCGCATGACAAGGGAGAACAAATAGACTTAAGGAGCTCAAAACACTTAAAAAAATAAAATAAATAAATAAATAAAAAGAAAAAAAAGAAAATAGAGGGACTCAACTCATCCGAAGTGTCAGTTTCGAGGACTAAAGTGAGCTGAGATATCTAAACACTCACTGTAAAAAAAATATTTTCATGATTTATAATCACAACATTTTTTTCTTTTGTCAAATCAACTTAAATAACTTATGTAGTTCATATAACATCATATCTTGAATTTCTAATGATTAAATCAATCTCCATTGTATTAACTCACTTTTTCCATTTCAATGAACTTAAAATTTTAAGGCAACCAGGTTACTTCATTTTTTTAAGTTAAACCAACAATTTTTTTTTTTACAGTGCTGGTACTTCACAACTGCTGGGTCACCCTATGAGTAATGTTTAACAGAAGCAGAGCTTAGACAAAGAAGGCATTGCAAATCATTTTTATTCATGAAAATATAAGTGCAATCTGTTATACACAGATAATAAAATAAGATTATTATACAATATGATCTCTAAATTCCATTTTATATTTTTTTAAGATTAAAAAAAGATTCTCAAAAAGCTGTTTACTTTGGCATGACACAAAATCAACCTGTTGTGCAGAAATTAGAAGCATGTAAAACATTTTAATGTACAGTGGGATCTGAAAGATTTAAAATCCAATTTAAACCTGAAAATGAACAGGTTTTAGGATTTCAACTACATGAAATCATTAAGATCCTGCACTTTTTTTGTAGATAAGTACATTTTTGTGCAGATAGTCAGATGTTCTCATAGATAAAGTGAGGTGGTCATTCAATCAAGGGAAAAAACAAATACTAAGCTATTCTGAAAAACGTTTATATTTTTATATTGCAACTTTGGATGTAAAGCGAGCTTTTAGAGCCCTGCAGATTTAATGTATAGACAAATATCAAACTATACGTCTTTTTAAAGAACACTGATGCTGATTTGGAAGCTGATTACACCATATAGTATTTTTCAGCATTACATATTCTTTAAAAGACTATGCAGTACGGTTCTTGCTAATAATAACACAATGTGTTTGCGCTTCAGGACATGAATGCACGCACACTTCCCCGAATGACCGCCCTGCATATGGGGCAGTGGCGCAGACTGGCTGCGCAGTCGGTGCAGACGACCAGATGACCACAGGGGATGAAGACCATGGAGACGAGTTTGTCCATGCACACCTTACAGGTCCTCTCTTCCTGAAGCTGTCTCAGCTGTTCCTCTGGACTCAGATCGGATCGCACTGAAAAACACACAAACACACTGACATGTCAACTCAACCTGGGTCAATCAAGATGAGTGATTGTACGATCTGTTCCATCCCAGAGGCTAGATAGCGAGAAGAAGAACACACACACACAAACACACGTGTTAAGTGCAATGAGAGCATGTTAATATGGACCTTTCTCCCTGACTGCGACCGGCGTTCTTGACGTTCTCGGACTCACCACCATCTCTGAGGAAACAAACCATCCACACGTTAGAGGAGGGAACGGCACACATCATTATTTAATCAACAAAACATTACAGTAATATGCAAATGTCATATGCACATTAGTATTTTCACCCAAAAAAATGGTTTTAAGACAGTTTTTTATATCTTTCGCCGTATAGTGTGTCAGTGAGAAATATCAGTTTACTTTATCAAACATTACTTTTGCCATTAATCCAGTGAGATTAGGAGTCTGAATACAGCCGATATGATCAGATCTCACCATCATTGAGTCTGTCTGTGATTACATGAAGAAACAGAAAAACTGAGACAGAATATATCCAGAAGGCGACGTCTCCAAGACTCTTGAAGAAACCTACCTTGCACACTACTGATGGTTACATTAAAGTACTAGTTCACGCAATAACATTTTTTTATTCTGTCATTTTATGGAAGCCCATTTTACTTCCGCCACTGAATAAAAAATAAATAAAAAATAATTGCGACTTCTTATCTCACAATTGCGAGATATGAAGACAGAATTGTGAGAAATAAAGTCGCAATTGCGAGATATAAAGTCACAATTCTGAGAAATAAAGTCACAATTGCGAGATATAAAGTCGCAATTGCGAGAAAAAAAGAATTTGAGACTTTTTATCTCACAATTCTGAATTTATTTCTCAGAATTGCGAGTTTATATCTCAAAATTCTGACATCTTTTCTCAGAATTGTGAGATATCAGGCCAATCCTAAGGAAAAAAAGGACTTAACTTTTTCCCCCCAGAATATCTTATATCACGCAATTCTGACTTTATATCACGCAATTCTGACTTTATATCTCGCAATTCTGACTTTATATCACGCAATTCTGACTTTATATCTCACAATTCTGACTTTATATCTCGCAATTCTGATTTTATATCTCACAATTCTGACTTTATATTTCGCAATTCTGACTTTATATCTTGCAATTCTGACTTTATATCTCGCAATTCTGACTTCATATCTTGCAATTCTGACTTTATATCTCGCAATTCTGACTTTATATCTTGCAATTTTGACTTTACATCTTGCAATTCTGACTTTACTGTATATCACGCAATTCTGACTTTATATCTCGCAATTCTGACTTTATATCTCGCAATTGTGAGAAATAAAGTCAGAATTGCAAGATGTAAAACTTGCAATTGTGAGATAAAAATTCGCAATTACCTTTTTTATTTTTAATTATGTGGCGTAAACAAGCTTCCATAGAATGTTCAATTTTATTTTATTCCATTGGTTATGTAAATTTTAGAGAAAACATTATGTGAATGTTCCTTTTAAATGTTCTCGGAATGGTCAGAATCAAGTACTAACATTCAAAAAATGATCTGAAAATGATCAAACATCTGACGTTTCAGAAAAAAAGGGTTTCATAAAGGATCTTTAAACGCTCTTAAATCTCAATGCTCTACTAACATTACTGAACCTTGCCAGAGCGCTCTAAGAACGTTCCCTGTGAGCTTCACTGCCATTATATGCACATCTGCAAGCTGAATTTCTTATTTATTTCTCCTTTTGTGGTCCAAAAAGAATGAATGGCATGTGACATTGTAAAAACACCAGGGTAAATAGAAATTAATGACTGAATTTTTCATTTTGGGAGATGAACTATGCCTTTAAGTAATGTAAACATTATGTTAACTTCTTTTCGGTTATGTTCTGTTTTGAATGTGGTGAGTTTGTAAACACCTGGTCTGGGCTCCCCGGTCTGCCTCTCCTCCTCCTCGGCCTGCAGGACGTCGGTCACCAGGTCAGACACTGAGGTGTAGTGTGAGCCGGTCAGTAAGAAGTGTGACTGTACCAGACTCTCCACTAGTGAGCGCTGGAAGCCCATCTGCAGCACCGCCTGCACCACCGGAGACAACATGGCCGCCGCCACTGAACTCTGCCCACCCAACACCTCTGCCAGCAGGAACACAGACACGCCTAGTAGGTTTAGTAGGTTTGCTCATGCCTGCTTTTTTAATTATAACAAAATTCAATTGAAATTCAATTGTTTTTGAACACATTGACTGCCATTATACCTAGCAGGATCATCATATTCGGGGGTCCTTATGGCATTTAAACATTTGAAAACCCCTGCCCTGATGGCGTGACTCACCTGATGTAATGTTTCCTGCAGTTGATGACAGAGATCCACCCTTTAAAACAAATAAAACATTTAAAGTCCATGGCAATCATGGCTCATTTACCATAAACTAATGGTTAGATGCATCATTATTACTCACCATTCTCTCATTCATGCTAAAGTAAGACTGCTGGATATTGCTCACATATTCCCGTCCTCTGGATTGAAGCAAATAGTCACATCTTTGGAAGCACATGATAGACCAAATTAATAACGTTGATGCACTAAAATCAATAAAACATCATTCATTTGTAATGCCTCTTTAGTACGTTATTTTAAGTAGAAATAAAAGAGAAATAATCCAGCACTCACCGAGGAAACCATTTGGCGTGTTCCTCCCAGGGGTCATCACCTGGTTCCCAGTTCCTCAGACCACCATCACAGAAGAAACACTTCACATTGTCACCATGACCTAAGAAAACGACAATCACTTATTACCATCTACTAAAAACACTATGTTAAGAGAGTAAAATATATAAAATGGGATAAAATCATCACCTTTGCCATTTCTATTCAGTTTTCAGTTCCAACTAAATGTTCTTTATCAGTAATAAATTTAAAGTGTTCAACATCTAATATAAACATATGAACATGCTTAAACTCTGAAAAATCATTTACTCTCCCTCAGGTTATTCCAAACCTGTATGAGTATTTCATGTTGAACACAAAAGAAGATATTTTGAAGAATATGGGTAACATAACCAGACAGTTGATGGACCCCATACTATTTGCCCCCTATTTTGTTTTTGCATTCTTCAAAATATCTTCTTTTGTGTTCAACATGAAATACTCATACAGGTTTGGAAAAACTTGAGGGTGAGTAAATGATGACAGAGTTCAATTTTTGTGGTGAACTATCCCTTTAACACAATGCACAGATATTGCAATTTTGAATGCATGATTTGTATAAGGAATAGGCAGAAACACTGGGCCTATTGCTTTCAGAATAATGAGCGGCACGCGCTTCACTGCACTACGCTCGCGGGCTCTCTAGTTCGTTCCCTTCATTCACAGCGCGCATGACTGCCGTGCGCGTGACTGAAAGCGCAGAAAACAGAAGTAAGTTTGAATCCGAATCGAAACCGCATATATACACTCGTAATTTTCATGTGAAATTTCATTTCAGTTTAATTTCTCAACGAACAAAGTGGTCCCTTTAGTCTGAGACGGACCTGTAAAGAAGAAGCCAGCTCGCGCCAGCGCGTCGGGCTGCACAGATGCTCCTGTGGGCCAGTTGTGATAACTGGACAACCTGGTGTCCTCGGACTCCATCTCCGGGTAGACCGCCTGGCCGGACTGCACCTGCTCGTCCACGGTCAGCCGCTGAAGTTGACTCAACAGCTGCCCATCCACAGAGTCGGACGAGCCCAGCGGAACATTGCCCACATCCCTGCCCATCATCAAGCCGCACGTGGGGAAGTGCCTCTCGTGCTCCCCCCACGGGGTGTCTCCGTGAACCCAGTGCCTCAGGACCCCATCACAGAAGAAGCACTGCACCGTGTCCCCGTATCCCAGATAGTGAAAGCCAGCCCGGGCCAGCTCAGCGGGGCTCACGGGCGCATCTCTTGGCCAGTTGGTGAAAGTCTGGAGTCTTTCCTCCTCACTGCGCATCCCGAGCCGAACCCCCTCATGTCCACCGTCTCCCCTCATCATCCCGCTGCTCGCCTTCCATAACGGGCTGTCCAAGTGAGCTCCAGCCCCCTCTCCGCTGGCCATATACAGCCTATTCAGAAACGCCGTTCACTATAACACACACACTTCCAGAAAAAGCAAGCAGTTGTTAACATGATCTGCCCATGTGGCCGAGCCCTGAATAGCAAAATAAACAACAGACGCCTTTCATGGTGATTTTCTCTAAATTTTATATGTTGTTGGGTAAAAAAACAACCCAACCGGCAACCCTGAAAGATATGTGTTACACATTTGAAAATTATCATGAAATTTAAATGGACCCTTTTTAATAAATGTAGCTTATAAATATAGCTGATAAATAATTAATAATAATTAATAATAACTTTTTTTTTTTTTAGGCTAATAATGTGTCCATTGTTGGGGGTAGCCTAACTCAAACGTAATCAGGTTACTTTTTTAATTTACAACAAAATATCTACCTTTTCAAATAAGTAACTTACTTTTTCACATTTATTGACTGGCAGCTCTATATGTTGAGAGAAGTGAGGAGGTGTTGTGTGCGCTGTGTAAACATAATACACTCTAAACAATGCTGGGTTGTTTGGACCCAAATTTGGGTAAAATATGAACAAACCCAAATGTTGGGTTAAAAAGTGTAATTTCACATTTTAACCTAACTTTCACTCTCAACTGTACATTTTTTAATTGCATTTTTAACCCAACATTTGGGTTTGTCCATATTCGACCCAAATTGGGTTGAAACAACCCAGTATTTTTTCAGAGTGGTAGGCCTAGTGTTTTAGAATAAATGTGAACATGCATCTAATTGTCATACTTGCACAAAAACATTCAGTATTCCTTAAAATGAAAACGCATATAATTTTATAATATAATTTTAACTATATTACATACTTTATGTTGCTGCTGACCTTCAATTATCTAAATCAACCATAAGCAAAAATGACTTTAGATTAGATTTAGAATTTAGAATTGCAGCACTGTTGAAAGGTTTGTTTCAGCTGCATGCGCCAAAATGTGCATTTTCTTCCGCCTGAGGCTTACATAATTTCACTTTTGGTGTGAAATAGCCTTAGGCCTAACATTTGCCAAAAATAGCCTAGAACTTTTTTGTTGTTATAAGAACTAAGAAACCACATTACATTATTTTATTATGACATATAACACTTAATTTAACACGTTGTCACATTAAAAATGATTGTGAAGTGAAATTCATATTTATTTATCATGACACGATTTTGTAGGAATTGTAAACAGGCGCTAAAGAGAGTGCCTAAAGTAGCCTGATTGGCTTTTACTGTATGTGCTAATTGGTTACCCCGAATTTCGAGGAGGACCCGATTCGTTACCACACTTGTCTTCTGTTTTATGCCAATCAGCTGCCACTGCTATAATTGTGAACATCTTAGCCAACATCATAAACAACTCTCTTACATAATTTAAAATGTAAAAAAAATGCCTTGGTTTATTGTTTTAAACAAAATGAATAAATAATGCAAAAGCAGGATCCTCCTTTACATCATTTATTATTATAATCTTTTGACATTACTTTTTTGACTACATCTCCCATAATCCATCACAGGAAGTACGTCATCTGTTGACGCCAGGCATAATGGCGGCTTAGTAAACCAAACGCACAAGCTTCGCAAGCCCCTTGATTTTGATCCTTAAAGTAAGTAATTGAATCAAATGTTTTCTATTTTTAATAACAGCAAAGTTGAGCATGTTGTTAATAACATGGTTTTACCCGTTATAGTAATTTTTTTCTGATTTCTAGAGATTTTGTTTATTGAAGGTTGCAGGCCATCGCTGTGCTCAATGCAGCGCCTTCAGTGTAAACTTAAACGATATTATTAAAACTCCCGTGCGTTTGGTCTTCGCTAGATATATATCACGTGTAATTATATACTTACATATTTTAGCTGTGCTGTAATGACTGCACAATGCATTATGACTAAAATTCATTAAATAAAACAAAATGTAAGCGCTATACATGTCATGTAGTCTTGTATTTACAACCAGTTACTCTGTAGACATCAGTCAAACTTGTCTTTTAAGCATGCGTCACTCACTGCTCATCACAAGGCCTGGCTTTCCTCTTCTTTCCAGATGGCTGGTGAGTCCTCTGAGAAGAAGGACCTGGAGAGCATAGGGAAGGAGCGAGAGTCCCGTAAGCGCAGTCGTTCTCGCTCCAGGGAACGGGAACGCAAGGGATCTCCCGGCAGAGACCGCAAACGGCACCGGTCCCGTGAACGCAAGCGCTCCCGCAGCAGATCCAAATCTGCAGACCGGTGTGTGTGGGACTATATACTGTTTTTCTCATGCGAATGATAACTCATGATTAATCTAACGCCAACTCTTCTTCTCTGTTTTTAGAGATCGCCGTCTAAAAGACAAAGAAAGAGACAGAGAGAAGGACAGAGACAGGAACCGCAAAGACAGAGAAAGAGACAGGGACAGACGGGACAAAGACCGGTCTAAGAAATCAAGGTTTGAATCACGTTTGCCTCAAACCTTTTCAGGGCTGCCTCTGAACAGTATGGATATCGAGATGCTTGCAGTGTGTGTGCGTGCGTGCATATCTAATTCATAACATTTAATGTTATGAATTATATATATGTATATATATATATATATATATATATATATATATATATATATGTGTGTGAAGAGTTCAGATGCAAAAGCCTCTAAATGCCATTTGAAATTTTCTTCTTTAATGATAATTTTTATCAAACTTGTATATTTAAGTTCAGTAATTTCACTTAAATGGCATTGTTATTTAAGTAAAATTACTGAACTTAAATATACAAGTTTGATAAAAATCATCATGAAAGAAGCACATTTCAAATGGCATTTAGAGGCTTTTGCATCTGAACTCTTCATATACACACACACACACACAAACATATATCGCGAATATATATATATATATATATACATCAAGAAATTCTGACTTTATATCTCACAATTGCGACTTTATTTCTCACAATTCTGACTTCATATCTCGCAATATTGAGATAAAAAGTCGCAATTATTTATTTATATTCAGTGGCGGAAACAAACTTCCAGAAATATCAACCCCTATTATAATAGGTATTTATCGGTACATTATTTTGTCCAACCTCTGTATGTATACAATGTTAAGATATTTTAAGTATCAAAATTAATAATATAATGTAAGTATTTCACTACTTGGTGTTTGCTTTTTTCCTCTCAGGAGCACTTCCCCGAAATCCAAGGATTCGAAATTAAAGAGGGATGTGAAAAAAGAGGAAGATGAGGAAGAAGAGAAGAAGAAAAAGAAGGTAGCCTATTAGAAAACATTTCAAGTTTGAAAGTTGCAGCATATTGTGTGCTTTTCTGACTTGGATTTGTCTGGTTTCAGGTGCAGCCTCTCTCTCTTGAAGAGCTGCTTGCAAAAAAGAAAGCTGAAGAAGAGGCAGAGGCTAAGGTGAAGAGATATGATATTTTCATATAAATCACTGCACTCCTTTTTTTCTTTAGTTTTTCCTAAACATATCCTCCTGTTACAGCCCAAGTTCTTGTCCAAAGCGGAGCGAGAAGCCGAAGCCATCAAACGGAGAGAGCAGCAGACAGAGGAACGACGCAGACAGGTGGAGGACGAGAGGAAGAAAAGAAGAGTGTTTCAGGACATTGGCAGAAAGATGCTAGGTGAGAGGCTAGAAAAAATAATAGCATCTGTAGAAATTTGCTTAAACTTTTAATACTGGAGTTTTCCTGCTTTTAGTCTGTCTATTAGCTATAAAGGCCATGCCAATGTGCTGCTCAATGTTAATGACTATATGTAATAATTTTCAGTCTTTTTTATTTTCATCATCTTGATTTATCTAACTTGCAGAGGATCCTCAGGAGCGTGAACGGCGGGAAAGAAGGGAGCGGATGGAAAGAGAGAACAATGGGAATGATGAGGATGATGGACGGCAGAAGATTAGAGAAGAAAAAGACAAAGGAAAAGAGCTGCAGGCCATTAAGGTGACGAGCTCTACACTGTCCTCACTGGAGAAAAACAAAACAAGCTTTTAGATCATTTTCTTGGTTGAGAGAAATCTCAATAGTATTTAAACTAGGCCTGATGATTTTACATTAGAAAAAGAGATAAGATTGAGCAATCCTTTACTAAATATGCCTTTGGGAATAAGTTGGCCTCAGAAAAATCAATTAAATTCATTTGCAAATGTTTAGAGAAGTTTATGCAATCAGAATATCATCTTTCCTTGTATTTTCCTCTGTCCCTGCTGTGCATTAGGTGGTAATATGTCTTTTGGATGAATGTTGAACCAGTACTTGTTTTCTCTTTAGGAGCGTTATCTCGGTGGGATGAAGAAACGGCGGCGTACACGTCATCTGAATGACAGGAAGTTTGTCTTCGAGTGGGATGCGTCTGAAGACACATCAACCGACTACAATCCAATGTGAGCATGCCATGAATAACCGCACATAATAACTTTTCACATAAAAGTCCAGATTATTTTACTGCATTGCATTTGATTATGACTGCCTCAGATCACCCAATGTACATATTTATGTAGTAAATGTGAGAGAGGAGCACAATAACACAGGTTTGACTGTTTATGTTTTTAGCTATAAAGAAAAGCATCAAGTTCAGCTGTACGGCCGAGGCTTCATCGCCGGCATCGACCTCAAACAGCAGAAGAGAGACCAGTCTCGATTCTACGGAGACCTGATGGAGAAGAGACGGACCCTTGAAGAGAAGGAGCAAGAGGAGTAAGATTCATACCCTTCCATCATATCAGAATGATTTCTGAAGGATCATGTGACACTGAAGACTGCTGAAGATTCAGCTTTTACATTACAGGAATAAATTACATTTGAAACTATATTAAAATAGACAACAGTTATGTTAAATTTAATAATGTTTCACAAAATTGCTGTTAAACATAAGCACAATGACAGGGTTGTAACTGACACAAGGGAGAGCTAATGCCTCAAATGGAAATGATCAAAATCAAATGTTCACCGTTTTAATGGATATGCTATTAATTTCTGTATTTCACAGAGTGAGGCTGAAGAAGGTGCGAAAGAAGGAGGCCAAGCAGCGCTGGGACGACCGACACTGGTCTCAGAAGAAGCTGGATGAGATGACGGACAGAGACTGGAGAATATTCAGAGAGGACTACAGCATCACCACCAAAGGAGGGAAGATCCCTAACCCCATCCGCAACTGGAAGGAGTATTTACTGCCGCCTCACATTCTGGAGGTCATCGAAAAGTGTGGCTATAAGGTCAG